CAGCTGAGTTGCGGGAAAGTCTTCACCAGAATGAATAATGTGATGGGCTCCTCAGTTTCCACAGAAAAGGCTGTGGGTGCAAACTGGAGCATCTCTCTCCGTTCCCAGCTTCCACCATCAGAGCGAGAAGATAGTATGAGGTAACTTTTATCTGTTTATTATGCTTTGATGTACATTACATTCTCTGTTTCCTGTAAATGATACTGGTCTTGGAAAGAGAGAAAATATTGCAATCCTATGGCTGGTGTTTTTCTGTGGGCAGTATAGATTGACTGAGAACAGCAGACAGTGGATTTCATTCTTGGAAAGCGAATAATGTTTCAAAGTTGGTAAGGGTCATGTACATGTGAAAAAGTAAGTTATTGCTATCTCTAATTAGTTACTTCTCATTTAGAGATAGAAATAGTTTAGACATAATTGCTGAGGATATAATTAATTAAGGTTGTCTTGCACAGTTGGGTTAAACTGTTGTGACTGAGGTTAGTACCATGCTGGTGCTCCCTGGCTTCGTCCCATCTTTAATGGATTCCAGATCTGGTGGTTTCAAGTAACAACAGCTTTTCCAGATCCCAAGACAATCATGAAATAGGCAGAGGAATTTCAAAGACAACTCCTCTAGAAAGGAAAGACTGAGTTAAATGATGATATATTCAACTGTGGGTTAGGGCCCAGACAGCCTTGGTGCTGCTGGCCGGGGCGGGCAGGTGCCCGGCAGGCTGACAGTGCTTCTCTGCACGGGATGAAGCGATGCTGAACTGTGCTGAGCTCTCCCAAGGCAACACAGTCTCGTGCAGCAGGTTGCGACATTCCCTGTGCCTTACTTACAGAAGTCCTAATTTATGCCATTAGAAACGTTCAGAACAAAGAGTTACAGCGTGGTTTGCACGTTGCCTGCACGCCACGGTGGGTCTCGGCTCATTCAGCAGCAGCAGTTTGTTCTGCTTGAAATCCTGGTGAACGGCTCCTCTCCAGAGGTATTTCTTCTGACTTAATTGCCAAGTTATAGTGAAATATGAAGTTCGTTGTTGTCTGCTGGAGTGCTGGGGATTCTGTTTTGTTGGCACATTTTTCATGATCTCGTGTCAGCAGCATAACTAGGCTATGAGATAATTTGTGTGCTTTAGATGAGCAGCTGCGTGCATCTTAGCCGGAGAGAGAAGTTAGTGTGATCAGTCCGGTGGAATTAATTAGGTAAAACAGAAAATTAACTCTAATCTTGTAGATTAAGTGATGTCAGACCATGTAAAATGTATGTAACTTTCATGCAGGTGGAAATCATAATGGTCTGAACTGGTATACACTAAGATTTTATAAAAATAAGAAAAATAATAGCTGCAAATGTGGAAAAAAAAGATGCAGCCATTTAAGGGCTGAAAAGAGAAAATTGTTGTGCCCTA